TGCTGCCTCTCATCTCAGGAATCTTTTTTTCATCATTAGTTTCCTGTTGTTCAGAGTACTTTAAAATTAAAGTTTGAGGTGTCATTTAGTTTAAGAATGGAAGAAAAGAGCCCATGTGAATTGAATCGACAAATGAAAAGTTAATTTTTCTCAATAAAAAATATCATCAAAAACTTTTTGTATCAAACAAGCTGATTCTCAATTTTATAGGAAAAAATGAACAAACAAGATTAAGTAATGCAAGAAAATCTTAAAAGGGGGGAAGATGGTGAGGTGGAAACAGTGGTGCTACCAGATATTAAATCATGTTATAAAGCCTCAATAATCAAACACCCAGGCACCAGCACACGAAGAGCCAGAGCAGTGGTCAGAACAGCAAGTCTGGAAGCAAATACAAACGGAAATGGGAACTCTGTTTATGATAAGGACAGAGCCAAACCAATGGGGAAGGATGGACTCTCTCAAACTTTAACATCTCAGTTCCCACATTCTCTATCTCATTCTGTCTTTCTGTCTCCTTTCCTTGGTCTATATATACCCTTAAGGGTCTCTTATTAAAAATCAGAAAACAAACAACCCTCCCTTTGTTCCTGTGAAGAAAAGTTAACCTCTTTTTCTTCTACATGTAGCAAACCAAATTCTCTTAGAAAAATAGTTTTTATACACTGTTTTTACTTCTTCACTATGAAAAGAATATTTTAAACTATATTGGTTTATTTTTAATTATAAAAATACATGCATTCTAGAATTGTATACCTGAAACTTATATAATTGTATTAACCAATGTCACCCTGATAAATTCAATTAAAAAATAAAAATACACCCTCTCAAAAAAAGACAATACAGAATACTCTGCATTTTAACAACTTTTAAAATGTAAGAAGAAAAAGGTTGTAATTAAATCTGCACTAACAACAACAGCCACATGAAGCCACTGAGCACTTGAGCTGTGACTTGCCTGATCTGAGATGCTCTGTAAGATACACATTGGATTATGAAAACTTACTGGGAGGAGATTAAAGATGGCTGTGGACTGAATGGAAGCTACACTGACACTCTCCTGGGGCCAAATTGGAATTACAACTAAAATATAGAAAAACCATTCTGAATAATCAACTGCAACTGAAGACAAGCAAGAGAGCACCCTCATAACCAAGAAGGAAAAGTGGAGACCACATAGAGACTGGTAGGAATTGTGGAGGTGCGAGACAGCTGGCTGGACTCCCATAGGCAGCAGCTGAAGGTCTGGAAGAAGATCTCAGCTGTGGGGGATTCCCACTGAGGACTCTGGGGTCTAAAACCCAGGCTGGGCTTCCCAACCAAGAGCACCAGAACTGAGAAAGGTGCCAACATAACATCTGGCTGTGAAAAGCATCCAGGTTTCTGTCTGCCAGGGAGAGATGGCTGGAGATGCAGGCACCCTCTTATAGAGTCAATGCACAAAGTTTCATGTGGAGCCATTTACCTTGGGCTCCAGCAGAGGGAAGACAGAGTGGATGGGAGCTGTGTGAGGAGAATCTAGGGTTGTGGACTCTGGAGAAAGAGCTCAAAAGTCACCCATCTGGATCCCTGTGCTGAATCATTCCCACATACTGCAGAGGCAGACATTTACCTTCCAACAGCTTTTGCCTGAGGGGGAAGCAATTGCCTCAACCTGCAGGAAAATCTCTCAACCTACACTGTGGAGTTTCTACAGACCGAGACTCATTAAAAGAACCAGATTAATCAACCTGCAGGCAGAGGCAGACTTCAGAATGTTTTGATTCTTTGCCTGATCTGCTTCTGGACCTGGGCCTTGGAAAATCAGACTTTGGTGTGCACCTTGGTTCTGTCCAAATGCACCTAGTCCTAACAGAGGGGACCTCAAGCCATGGATTATTGGTAGCTCCAAACAGAGTACTCAAGGCCATTCACAACAGCATCTGATATTGGCCTGCACCAGAGACTTTCCAAAAAGACTGAGAGTCCTAGAAGATCTACCTAATACATAGAAACAAACCCAATTGGGCAGCTAAAATGGAGAGACAGAAAAATAAACCCCAAATGAAAGAACAAGAGAAGTCTCCAGAAAAAGAGCTAAATTAAATGGAGATAAGTAATCTATTAGATACAGAGTTCAGAATACTGATTGTAAGGATGCTTAATAGCATGAAAAAAGATATGGAAACTATGAAAATGACCAATCAGAAATGAAGAATGACATAGCAGAAATAAAGAATACATTATAAGGAATAAACAGCAGATTTGAAGAAGCTCAGGAGAAGATCAGAGAATTAGAAGAGAGGGTAGAAAAAAATCACTCAAGCAGAGATCCAAAAAGAAAATACAATTAAAAAACAGGAAGACATTCTAAGGGAGTTGTGGGACAAAATGAAATATAACAATATTAGCATCATAGTAATACCAGAAGACGAGGAAAGCAATCAAGGATTAGAGAACCTGTTTGAAGAAATAATGGCAGAACACTTCCCAAACCTGGTCAAGGAAAAAGTTACACAAGTTCAGGAGGCACAGAGAGTCCCAAGCAAGAAGAACCCAAAGAGGCCTATGCCCAGAGGCATCACAATTAAAATGCCAAAAATTCAAGACAAAGCATCTTAAAGGCTGCAAGAGAAAAGCACGCTGTTACCTACAAAGAAGCTTCCCTAAGGTTTTCAGCTGACTTCTCATGAGAAGCTCTACAGGCCAGAAAGGAATGGCATGGAGTATTCAAGGTAATGCAAAACCAGGATCTGAAACCAAGACTACTCTATCCAACAAGGCTATCATTCAAAATAGATGGTGAAATTAAGAGCTTCCCAGACAAAAAAGGCTGAAGAAGTTTATTACCACCAAACCAGCATTGCAGGACATGTTAAAGGGACTGCTGTAAGAAGAAGAAGAAATAGAGAGGGAAACATAGGCATAAAGAATTAAAATGGCAATAAATAAAGACTTATCAGTAATAACCTTAAGAACTTTAAGGAAGACATCAACAGCAATACAGTCATAGTCGTGGACTTCAACACCCCACTGACTTCATTGGATAGATCTTCCAGACCAAAAATCAACACAGAAACAGTGACTCTAAATGACACACTAGATCAGATGGATCTAATTGATATTTACAAAACATTTCACCCCAAAGCTACAGAACATACATTCCACTCAAGTGCAGATGGGACATTCTCAAAGATAGATCACATGTTAGGACACAAAACCAGTCTCTACAAGTTCAAAAAGACTGAAATCATATCAAGCGTCTCAGATCACAATGGCATGACATTAAAAATCAACTACAGTAAAAAAACTCAAAAACATTCAGACACATGGAGGCTAAATAGCATGTTATTAAACAATGAATGGGTTACCAATAAGATCAAGAAAGAAATAAAAAACTTCCTGGAAACAATTGAAAATGAGCACACAACAACCCATAATCTATGGGACACAGCAAAAGCAGTCCTAAGAGGGAAGTTCATAGCACTGCAGGCCTACCTCAAAAAGCAAAAAAAAATTTAGTAAACTAACCCTACAACTTAAAGAATTAGAAAGCTACCCTATGAAGCTGTCCAGACCAGGGCTTTTGTTTGCTTGGAGTATTTTTTATTGCTGCTTCATTTCCATCATTTATTGTTGGCCTATTCAGGTTTTCTGATTCTTCCCAATTCAATTTTACATGACCTCACTCATATGTGGAATCTAATAAACAAAACAGTCTGAGGAACAAAATAGACTCAGAGACATAGAAACATGGAACAGACTGACAAATCTCAGTGGGAAGGCAGGAGTGGGGGGGTCGGTAGGGAGAGATTAATCAAAGAATTTTTATGCATATATGCATAACCAGTGGACACAGACAACAGTGTGGTGAAGGCCTTGGGGAGGAGGTGGATGCAGGGTGGAGGGAATCAATGGGAAAAATTAGGGGGATATCTGTAATACTGTCAACAATAAAGCTAAATTTAAATAAATAAATAAATAAATAAGAAAGAAAGAAAGTTTAGTGGTAGAGAGGAATGTAAAAAACTTGAGTTATGATATCTATGGATTACACATTGAAATGAAACATTTTGATATATTATTTTAAATGAAGAATGATTTCTAAAGCTGTTTAAAATTTGGTCAGGGGTAAACACTCCTTGGAGTAAGTGCAAAAGTTGTCACTGTTCACAGGGTCCTGGCTCTCAGAAAGCTAGAAAGTGCTCTACGGCCTGGTACGCTGCTTCGTGCAAGGAGCTGCCACGCAACTGTGTGAACTGTAGGGCAGGAAAACTTTCTCTTCCCTTCTAGGTTCTTTGGCTGGTCTAACAATTAAATTGACATAAGAGATTAATAGGAGAAAACGAATTTAATTTTGTACTTATGGGAGCCCCATAGAAATATGAAACTCAAAGAAGTGACCAAAGCAGACAGCTTTTATTCCTTTTAGACAAAGAAAGAATAAATGTGTGAAGAACTGACAGGTGTAGGGTAGTAAATTAGTGAGTAGCAACCAACCAGGTTTGTCAATTCAGCCTTCTCAGCCCTGCATTCCCTGTCTCTGCTGCTAAGGACGCCTCTCCCCCCTGCACACGGAGGGCCCCTTTCACATCGGAGACTTGTTTCCTGCTCTCTAGGGAACAAAGGAGGGCCAGAGTACCCTTCTTGCGCCGGCTATTTCTCAAATAACTTTAATTTAAAATAATCAAGATTTCCAAGTGGCATCCTTTGGGGTGTAATACCCTGCTCTCCTTCAGTATGTACTTCCTTTTTGGATAGCTGCTCTCTTAAGATAGTTTCAGGACATAGTGTCTTACTTTAAGTAGTCTTACATTTAGTGAATTCAGTCACTGGTCAAGGTACGGGGGCTCCTAATGAATGAAATGCTTAATTATATAGTGCTTTTCAGTCCCTAAGCTCCTGGGTGGAGGGTGAAAGACCTGGAATGCAGAGGCCACACCAACTGGACATGTGACCCTGAGCGGCGCTGGCTAATTATAGAGCTCACTACATCTTGTCTCTCCCTCTCTGCTTTCTAGGACGGCGGGACTCCATACGGGGCCAGGTATGTGGGCTCCATGGTGGCCGATGTGCACCGCACCCTGGTCTATGGAGGGATTTTCCTATACCCAGCGAACCAGAAAAATCCTAAGGGCAAGGTAATTCTCCTTTGTCCTCTGGCTGCATCTGGTCAGGGAGCCAGTGGAGTTCCCTTTCTCTCCATGCCTGCTTTTTGGCTACAACCTTGTTCTGGGCATATTTGTCTGTGATGGGCAGGTAGAAAAGAAATGAAGTGCCCTTCCCATTAGTGAATTTGAGGCTGTTGTGGGTCTGGAGGAGATGGCTGAAGCTGTGATTGGTGATTTTTCTGGACTGCCCTTCCTCTGGCTTCCTGTCCTTCATTCACCAGGAGCCAGCTGTGTTCATCTCCCACTTCTCAGATGCTCTGTCTGACTTTTAGTTTCAGCACCAACTCATTTTGGGCCATAGACCCCTTTGAGAATCTAATGAGATTTATGGACCCGCTTCCTAGAAAGAAATTCATGCAAACATACACATTACATACATGTTCAGGGGATTCACAGATGACCTGACTCATCCATGATCTCCCAGAAAGTTTCCAAACTCCAGAGTAAGAACTGCTGCTCTGAACTCATTCAGAATATCTGGAAAGGTAGCTCCCAGAAGATCTTAAGCCATTTTATAACACAAAACAGAAAATACTGGTATTATCAAGTAGGAATCCAATGATCCAAAGCATCAATCTTGAGTAAACCCTTCCATGGAAAGTTGTCTGATTTTTAGCCAAACACTGAAATCATAGGTACGTAGACAAGAACTACCATATTCTCTGACACGCCAACAACTGGCCACATGTATACATGTCTCTTGGGTGGGTGATTTGAGTAATTGGAATGGCAGGTTCAAAGCCACCAACAGAAATCTAACAGCACATGAGACCAGAGAGGAGAGTTTTACTATGCAGATTGGTGTATCAGGCATTTCTGCATGTGCGTGTATGAACCTCTTGTACTAAGAATCACAGAAAAGTCTGCATGAGAGGTGCCAGAGCGAAGAAGTGTTATGGAGTGTTAAATGAGATCAAGCAAAAGATGAGGAAACTCTTAAATAGAACCATTCTTGCCACCTACTCAGTTCCAACAGGGAAAACATTAAGACTAATTATTACTAATTATTAAAATGATTTAAAATTAGTCAAGAAATACCTACTTATAATCTTACAGACATTGCTATAAGGAGGCATAATTCCATATGTAGATCTATATTCACAACACTATAACCACCACCCATATTTAAAGTACCATTTTCTCTTGACCTCCACGTTTTAGCTCTCACGGACTCTGTGATCACATCTGTGTTTGTGGGATGTGTGTGTGTGTGTG